CCAGAATCTCCCTGGAGAAAGAGAGAGAAAGAAACCACAGGAATGGGAGATGATCCACATCACAGCAGACACACGGGGGCTTCCCCAGTTCCCCACGGGCCCTATCAGACCTCGGTTTCTGTGAAAATGCGACCTGGGGACTGACGTTTTTCACATGAAAACCATCTACACATTCAAAAAATGGTGTACAGCAAACTTCCAACGTGTGGTTCATTGCCCCTTTGGGGCCATTGCTGAAACCACAGCAAACAAAATGAAGTTCAGGCCCTTTGTGACTTCTGATCGGAGCAAAAGCCGTAAAGTGCATATCAGGGCACCTTCCCACACTTGCAGGAAGATTCTACCTTCCCCTCTCCCTAGGATCTGAGACAGAGCTACCATGCCTGTCCATGCCCATCCACAAGGAGGACGAGGTGCAGGTTGGCCCAGGACACTACACAGGTCAGCAAATTGGCAAAAGTGGCCCAGCTTGACAGGAAGGACTGTGTCATCCACCGTGGACGGAGGCAGGGAGCGAAAGCTCGTGGCGCAATTGTCCCGGTGGGAATCCTCCCCAGCCAGGGCGCTATTGCTAGGCTAAAACCGGACAAAGCCCACAAAAGACCCTTGAGCGGAAAGCCCACTCTCCCCAAGTAGAAAAGGAAAAAAGGCAAAGATGAGGAGGATTCCCTTGAGAAGGTGCCAGCGTAAAGTAACCTTGAACACAATTTCCACGCAAACCCTCAAAACCGAAAGAAAAATGTGTATCATAGTTGTATGATACACACAAAAGAACACATACATGGTTAAAAAAAATATGAGTAACATGTTTTTCTGAGTTCATTGCCTGCCAGAAAGAAAGAGGTCAGAGAAATGGAACTAATATTAGTGCTTGATGTCGGCGGTTTCTTGAGCAGGGAGACAGAACATGGAACCAAACGGACATACATACACAGAGACAGACGCTACAGGGCTGCAGCACAAATTAGACACAGACAGAGACGGTACAAAACTGCCGCCGCCTCGACAGCCCGCAGTGCTTTATTATTTATCTCCTAAATCCTGGCAGTGTTCCCAGACGAGTTTGCTATTCTCACATTTGAATTTCTCAGAGCCTCGAGAGTGAGTTCCATTCCTCGGCCCATATCGCTGTTTTCATTTCTACCAGGGAAATACTGTGTGCAGCTGTTTCCACAGATCATCCTACTGTTTCAGTAAGGATGCTGCTTATGAGAACCAACTAGGTCAGGCGTTTGCGTACTGTCCTAGACAGATACAAGACTCTAGACACAGTGGTCCTCTCATGGCTCCTTCAGTACTACGATTACATGCCCAGATCTCCATAGTCCCCTCTCTAGACAATAATCACTAGCTCTCTTGTGAAACTGTGGGCGGACCAGTTCAGCAGAGGCTGGACCGTTTACACAATGGATGGTGTATTATCAAATAACCCCGGCCCATCGGCCTCAAGTATATGACCTTGAAGATATCCCACATGAATTTAGAGACCATCTCAAGAATAGATCTGACCCACTGAACACTAACCATTGAACACCGATGAGTCGGGAGCAGCATCAAGAACGTAATACACAAGGAAAGCAGAAGGTCACTAAAAAGACGTGAAAGAAAGAAAAGCTCCCATGATGCCTGTCTTCAAATGCTCTTGAGCATAGAGGAGCGAAAGCAAAAGGAAGGAATGATGAAGTGAAAGAGCTGAACAAAGTGTTTCACGGGGCAGCTTGGGAAGATTAAAGCCGTTTAAAATGTGCAAAGACCTGGAGTTAGAAAAGCAAAAGGAAGGAGCAGAGTGTATCTCAAGCTGAAAGAATGGAAGAAAGAAACTCAAAACTGCGAGTCACAGTATTGAAGGACTCTGAGCAAAATACTGAATAATGCCGGAGACATGAAAAGGCAATGGAAGGAATACAAAGAGTCACTGTACCCCAAAGAACTGGTCAATGTTCCACCATTTCAACAGCTAGCATATGATCAAGACCCAATGATAACGGAGGAAGAAATATAAGGT